ATGCAAACCGACTCCACTATTTCAACAGCAGGAAGAGATTTACAGCGATAAATGAATCACAGCAGACAGTTGCATTAATTTAGTGGAAATAAGATAGGCATAATCTCCTTAATAAAAGACTACTTTGATTAATAAGACACAAACAAATTATATTAGATTATCGCAAAGCCTCTGTGGGGTTTTTAACCACTTCTCTTACAACTGAATTAGAAGTCTAAATCTTAGGAAGACTTGATGATGTTATGACCAGGGGTGGGTTCTAAATTTTTTTACTACTGGTTCTGTGGGCGTGGCTTATTTTGTGGGCATGGCTTGGTTGGGGGTAATGTGACTGGGTGGGCGTGGCCAACTTTTTTTTTTTTTTTTACTTTTAAAAGCATTTTTTCTATAACTTTAAGAGGTTGAAGAAAAAAATGCTTTTAAAAGCCTCTGATGATCAGGCAACTCAGCTGGGATCGCCAGAGGCTTTTAAAGGCATTTTTTTCCCCTACAACCTCTTTGGCTGAAAAAATGCTTTTAAAAGCCTCTGACGATCCCAGCTGTGCGATCATCAGAGGCTTTTTTTTTTTACTTTTAAAAGCATTTTTTCGGCCGAAGAGGTTGTAGAAAAAATGCTTTTAAAAGTATTAAAAAAAAAAGCCTCTGATGAGGTGGGCAGGGTAAATGAGCGGCGACCGGGCCGGGGACTGGTTTGGGGGCGTGGCCAGCCAATGTTATTACCGGTTCTCCAAACTACTGCAAATTTTTGCTACCAGTTCTTGCGAACTGGTGCGAACCGGGAGCAACCCACCACTGGTTATGACAATCATTTCCCTACCAGTTTGCAAATGTGAGCACGCACACACCCCGTTCACGCATGCGTCTGGCCTTCCGTGCATGTGCTTTGCTTGGTGCGCGTGCCATTCGCGCATGCACCCGGCCTCAAAAACGTGCCTAAATAGGATGGCATAGAGCCGGGGCAGGAGGGCAGGCCCACCTGTGATTTCCGCTACCGGTTCGGGTGAACCGGTCCAAACCAGTTGAATACCACCTCTGATGACAATACGCTAAAGGAAAATATAATTTCTTAGGTGTAGAAACATAGCCATCATCAATTCGGTCTATTTTCCAAATGTTTATGACAAGTTTTAAAAAAAATATCTTTCTCTAATAATGCTCGCCTAGGAAATGGAAAGATAATGAAGCTAGTCTGTGGAATTGCTCAGTTCCCGTCACGTCTCCTTCTGAAACCTAATAAAATGACTGTTACAAGGTAATTAATATCCTGCTAGAAAACCTGTCAATCTATTCCAGTATTTTCTACTCTGAAAGGTGATTTTCAAGGTTCTGCTATGCTCATAAAAATGTTTCTTGGAAGTTCACGGGCTGGACAGGAACATCACAATTGACTCTTTCATCTAATTTGTCCCCCCCTCCCCTATTCTCTACTAGCTGGATACCCGTGCTCCACTACAAAACTATGTGATCGGGCTTGATAAATCGACACTTACAGCTTGAAAATTAATGAGTAGTTACGATCGGCCTCTCCTCTCCCCTTCTCTCCCTCAGACTTGCCCCACAGAGGCCTCTCCTATCTTATCCCCTTCTCTCCCTTTCAGGTGGGGAGCAGAATGTCTAAACTCCCAGACCACAGACTGGATGAGTCACGTGCTGGCCATGCCCAGAAATACTAATGATCTGATGGTCATTTCGAAAAATCCTTTTTTAGCGAGCACCTAGAAGCCAAGAGGAACATATATGCCAAATTTCAAGTTTGTAAGCTTTACAGTTCTGGAGATTTTGTGATGATGTGTGAGTGGTATTTTGCTTTTATATATATAGAGAGAGAGATTGTTCCATCTGGCAGGGCCAGAATCAATAGTTTAACATTTAAAGGCAGAAGGTTCCTACAAAACAGCAGGAGTAATTTCAAAACTTCTATTAGCTGTAGCTCATGGAATGGGAGAATTCTCCTTCACTCGAGATCTTCCAGCAGAGACTAGACCAGGGGTGTCCAACTTTGGCAACTTTAAAAGTTGTGGACTTCAACTCCCAGAAATCCCCTTGCTGGTTGAGGAATTATGGGAGTTGAAGTCCACAGGTCTTCAAATTGCTGAGGTCCCTGGACTCATTTGTCATAGGTGCTCTAGTGAATTCTGTGCAGTGTAGGGGATTGGATTAGATTGCTTCTATGGATCTTTTCACTACTACAATGTTACCGGGAAATCAGCCAGTCCTAATAAGCTGTGGAACACCTATAGTCTGAACTTACACTACTTCGTTGCTTTGCCGCCATGTTTTCCTTTTCATTCCACATACTGTAGGTGAATCCAAGCACTATGAATTTGCAGGTCATCAGCTGTGGATTCATGGTTGATCAAGCAAGTCATGATTCAAACAAACCATGCCCTAGCAAAACTACCCAACTTTTCTTGGTTCATAAATAGTATGAAATTGTCTGAAGACTATTTCTGTGGTAATGTGGCCAGCATGGCTATATGCCAAAGGAAAATATAATGCTGTTACCTTCCCACTGAAGTGGTACCTATTTATCTACTCAAATTTGCATTTCTTTTTTTGAACTGCTATGTGGGCAGGAACTGAGGTAAGGAATGGGAACTCACCCGTTGTAAGCAGTGGTAGGATCCTACTGGCTTAACAACCGGTTTGGTGATTGCACTCTTTGCACGCACCCACGCGCCTCACACGCACTCAGATCAGACGTGTGCTACGCACTCATGCACAATTGAGTGAAAAATCAATGGTTTATATGTAAAAATAGCGGGAAGTAATTGAAATATTGGGAAAAGAGAAAAATAACATTTGAAATGGAAATAAGAGGTGGAAAGTTAATTAAGTTGAAAGATTTTAAGGTAAAGATGAAATAAGTTGAAATACAATGTTAAGAATTTTAAAATATGATGGGAATTTTGAGGAATATATGCAATAAAGGGAGAGAAAAACGGGGATGCCTGGACACCATAGGGAAAAAAAAAACCACTGAATTGGAAATGAATACAGCAATAGAGAGAGACAGAAGAAGGAGTAGGGAGATTGAAGGAAGGGAGAAGGAGAGAGAGGAACAGAAGAAAGGGAAGAGGAGAGGAAGAAAGGAAAGCTGATCGCTGGAGCGAACTGATTCACTCCCAGCTCATCGTCGGAGCTACCGGTTCGCTTGAACCGGTCCAAACCGGTAGAATCCCACCCCTGGTTGTAAGGAATTCAGGTCTCAAACCTGGGCTGTCAGCTCTCCAATTGACAAGCTCAGCGTCTTTAACCACTGAGCCATCGTGCCCAGGAACATAAAGAGGCATGTCCGCCATTCTTAGTAGAGCACATCTTTTTTTTTCCCCCCCAAAAAAAGAAAGGAAGAATATTGCAAAAACACTGCAAAATCCATTGGGATGCCTCTCCCTGTTAGAAATAGGGCTGGATGGAGGTTCTGAATTACCAATCTCACTTCGCTGAATATTAGTGAAAGCGTTTGTAAGCCAACCCTCCCCTTCTTCATGAATATTCCCTCGGTATCCTTATGTCCACACAAATTGTTATCAACTGGCAGGCAATCGGGGGTTTTCTTTTCCCAGCAAGGGATTTTTTAAAAAAATCCGTTAAACATTGGAAGAACTGCTCCCTGCCAGCCCCTCCGAGTCTTGGTTCCTCATTTAAGGACATCTAAGCCCAATTTTCTGCACGTTTTATCCCTGAAGTCAGAAACCATATGATTGCAAAAGGTCCAATTCCTCAGCAGTGTGTGCCTGGCTGTCCCAGCAGGATCAAAGCTTCATAGCCTGGTTTTTATAGACCAGACCTGGCTTATCATCTGGTGGCTAAACATTCCTATGTTTGGCTCTTTGCTGCATAATATTACTGACGGTTACAGTGGGATAATAGGAATGGCCACCCAAACAGTTTAGCATGATATTGCTCCCTGTCCTAAACCTTTTTTGTACTATCTAAGGAAAAGCAGCCTTCATTACAGAGTCCATAGCTCTTATATTGGGCAATGTCATGGTAACAGCAATGCTCCTTGATTGACAGTGTATTTCTTACTGGAGTCACCCTTATCTGTATGAATATTCTAAAGCTGCCTTCCCCTAGCTATTTATTTTCCTTTTTGGCATGGTTATATTCTCTCTCTCTCTCTCTCTCTCTCTCTCTCTCTCTCTCTCTCTCTCTCCTTCCCTCCCTCCCTCCCTCCCTCTCTCTCTCTCTCTGTCCACCTCTCTCTCCACCATCTCTGTCTGTCTTTCTCTCTCTCTCTCTCCCATCTCTATCTGTCTTTCCCCCTCTGTCTGTCCTTCTTTTTCTCTCTCTCTCTTTGTCCCTCAATCTCTCTCTATCCCTCACTCTCTCTGTGTGTGTCTCTCTCTCCCTCTCTCTCTCCCCCATCTCTGTCTGTCTGACTCTCCTTCTCTGTCTGTCCTTCTCTCTCTCTATCTCTCCCTCTCTCTCTCTCCCCGTCTCTGTCTGTCTGTCTCTCCCTCCCCCCTCTCTGTCTGTCCTTCTCTCTCACACACATACACCCTCTGTCTTTCTCTATTTGTCCCTCAATCTCTCTCTGTCTCTGTCTCTGTCTCTCTCTCTCTCCCTCACTCTCTCTCTCCCCCATCTCTGTCTGTCTGTCTCTCCTTTTCTCTCTGTCTGTCCTTCTCTCTCTCTCTCTCTGTCCCCCCATCTCTGTCTGTTTCTCCCACTCTCTCTGTCTGTCCTTCTCTCTCTCACACCTCTGTCTCTCTCTCTTTGTCTCTCTCTCTCTTTGTCTCTCTCTCCCTCACTCACTCCCTGTCTCTCTCTCTCTCTCTCTCTTTCTCTCTCTCTCTCTCTCCCCCTCCCTCCCTCCCATCACCACAGTAATAAAGCAGAGGACAAAAATAATGTTTGCTCTGATTTTAACTTCCTCCTCCTCTTTTCTCTCATTCATTTCTATCTGCTCTTTAAAAAAAAAAACTGGCTTGTTTGCATGGGGATTTTTAAAATTAGGCATTCCATAAGAACATAAAAAGAGCTCTGAAGCAGGATCAGGCCAAAAATCCTTCTTATCTAGCACACATTCCAGTGAAACCATATTCAAGAAGGTTGTGAACATAAACCAAAGGTGATGGAACCCTTCCAGTGTATTTAAGTTATGCTGTATATGATTCAGGAGGCAGTTAATGTCTAGTAGTTATTGTCAGTCCATTTATCCATGAGCTTTTCTTCTCCTCTTTTAAGATCATCTCAATTGTTGGTCATCGACATGAGGTGCAAATTCCATCGTTTAACCATGCACTGTTGAGTTAGGACAGTTAAACTGGTGACATTTTTTCTCCAAACTAAGATGGTGCTGATCCCTGCTGCCCACTTTCGAGAAAATTCCCTCTCTTACCTGTCTCTTTCATTGGGAATGGAAGCATTTATTCAGTCATTCTCAAGACGCATCTTTGGAGGACCAGAAGCTTAGGAAAAAATCAGAGAATAGTTGCAATGACTCCACCATCCAAGAGAGTCAATTTGGTATAGTGGTTAAGGTTTCAAGCTAGAAACTGGGAGACAGGGAGTTATAGTCTAGCCTTAGTCACAAAGTCCCCCCCTCTCTCTCAACATATGTGTTGTGGTCCGCCAGCAGCCTGTGGAGTTGGCAGCAGAGTTGAACAGTGAGGAGGCTGGGGAGGAACATGGGCCAGTCCTTGAGTCTGGGGAAGGCCCGGATGAGGGCTTTGCATCGGAGGCAGAGATGGAGCCAGGGCCATCTGGGAGTGATGTACAGACTCTGGAGCCTCCAGAGTTCGACAGCAGAGAGGCAGAGGAGCAGAAGGAGCCTGTTCCTAGTGCACGCATGCACAGAGCTACCAGAAGGCATGAACAGTTAAAACAAAAGGGACAACTCGGGAGTAAGGCCTGGAGGTGATTGGTTCCTCCCATAAAGCTTAAAAGAAGAGCAAAGGCATGCGGGCACTTTGCAGGAAAGCAACGTTGTTAATTCTCTTCCCAGTTGGCATCTCTGTTTGATTCTAGAATCTGTGTGGCTTTGCCAAGTAGGTCTTTGGCAGAGTGTCAAGGGAGATAAAGGTTGGTAATTATCCCGAAGGACTTCTCCCAAAGGACTTTTTGCAACTAATTGGGACTCAGCTGTGAATGAACGTAATTCACAGCTGTTGCAATAAAAGAGGTTTTGGGGACTACTCGTGTGTTGTAATGACACAGGAAGCCTAGGTCACAACAATAGGAAGTAGGCAAATGACAACTCCACCTGAAAAATCTTACCCGAACATAAGGAATATTTACAATGGGGCAGGAAAAGGGGTCATTACATCATTGAATAGAAAATGGGCAACTTTTGGGATTCCCTGAAGGGAAGCACTTACTATCATTTCTATATGGGACATAAACAACAGCTTATGTGAATCCTCCACAAGAAGCTTTCTATTGCTGCTTTTTATGGCTTCTGCTCTCCAAAATAAGAGACTATTGGAGCTGGAGGGCCATGAATTAAGAGTTGGACGGCACGGCTATTTATGGCATGATAAGATTAAAGTAAATGTTGATTTCAACAATCCCTTTGTTAAACGGGCCATCAAAAGAGTTTGGAGTAAATATAAAAACAACGTTCTCTGTGAAGACGTCCCTTTGAAAGTCACCTCAGGAAGCTTCTTTTTAGAAAAGAAATTGTGGTGAGACCAAACTGGTGGACTTATGATCAAATATCACCTTTCCGTTATGGTGACCCTATCGACAAAGCTAAAGAGGAGCTAGAATTAGAAGGATGTGTTTGCCGTTGGTTTTAATAAGGAGAAGAGGTGACAGGATTTTCACGTCCTTGTAGTACTCTCCTTACAAAAGCAAAAGCAACTCTCGTTGTGAAAATTTGTACATTCCTAAAGACCACCGTAAAGTGCCTCCTTACCAGAAAAGAAATAGCTTCCCAATGGGACTTCTACAAATTCTAAAGGTAAGAATGGATCATAAAGAGCCTTGATAGTACAGTGGTTTAGAACACCCTGTTATTAACACAGCTGCCTGCAATTTCTGCTGGTTCGAATCTCTCCAAGGCTCAAGGTTGACTCAGCCTTCCATCCTTTCTAAGGTAGGTGAAATGAGGACCCAGTTTGTGGGGGCAATAAGCTGACTTTGTATAAATATACAAAAGGATGAAGGCTATTGCTGAGCACATTGTAAGCCGCCCTGAGTCTCCGGAGAAGGGCGGCATATAAATCAAATAAAATAAATAAATAAATAGGATACTAGAAGGCGGTGCTTTGTTCTGCAGCAAACTAGGTTCCCATTTTTATTTTTATTATTATTATTATTATTATTATTATTATTATTATTATTATTATTATTATTATTATTATTATTATTATTACAATATTTTTTAGTGTGCAATGGTGGAATCCAAGGAAAGCACCTGCAGCATACAAGAGCTTATGGGTCCCACATTCCCTGTCTTGAAACGTACAAAAGAAAGGCAGAATTTCCTGTAATCGCCAAAAGTTTGAGGGGAAAAAAAAAAGATTTACCTCAGGAGAGCAGCAGAGAATAATATGTCGAATGTGTCAGATTTGCTTTTAGGTGAATATTTCAGGAAATGATGTAAAAGTGAAAAGAAATGGTTACAAGAGATGTTTACCAAGACAGAAGGGCCAGAATCCCAAAGGATGACAAGCAGGGAGAAGAAGCAATTGTCTTCAAAATTGCCTTAACAAAAGTTTTCGTGTAATGGCCCAATTTTTTAAGGCCTCAGACTTGGTCTCTGCTGTCCAAAAACGCTTATTTCTTCTATGGCCTCTTTAAACTAGAATTTGAAACACAGTGGGCAATTACTTTTCCAAACCACATTTGATGGGAGGGAGAAAAAAATAACTGTTAATTGGACACCAGTTTCACTGGTTTGGAACGATTTCTCGCTGAAATATATTGCTTCTCTTGAAAGAGTGGGGGGAGATCAGCAATGCTAAAGTGAATAATATGCATTGATTGTTAATTTGCTTTTTGTATGATTTTTTTAAAAAAAACAACAATATTATCTGCATGCAAACCAGGATTATTGTGATGAAAGAACCTGAACATTGTTATTTATTTTTTTAATCTTTCAACAGAGCTGGCCTTCTTTGTGCCCAGCAGCTTGGAAACTTTACCGTTCTCAGAACTGCAGGAAGTTTAATGCTACAGGAAGATCTTGAGGCAACTCAATGTATCCACTCTTCTAAAGAGAGAGTAATTCAAATCACAAAGTGAATTTGCCAAGAAATCTGTAGTATGGGTTTTAAGAATGGCAGCTTTTTAAAAAACAAAACAAAACACAACCTTTCATTATATACCCAAAGGTGCTTTTTCAGGAGGCAATTGGACTTTCTTGTTTTTTTTCTTTTGAAGACATTTCACTTCTCATCCAAGAAGCTTCTTCAGCTCTGACGACCAGATAGTGGGGAATGGAAGGATTGATACTCCTTGCAGACAGCTGGTTATTTGCATTCTTTTAGAGGGTCGTTGAAGCACTTGGAGGTTTATTTATGTCCTCAGGGACACCTGAATAGTGCAAATTGTTCCTGTAGTCGGCAATTTTTTTCCTCTGGAAATTCATTCCTACTCCCACACCATTCCAAGTGTGTTCATCCCAAATTGTATAGCTAAACATCTGTAGAGATTCTCAGTCATCCAGGTTCATGGTTGTCCCAAAGGTGCTTTTTCAGGAGGCAACTGGACTTTCTCATTTTTTTTCTTTTCTTTTGAAGACGTTTCGCTTCTCTATCCTGTAGAGCTGAAGAAGCTTCTTGGATGAGAAGTGAAACGTCTTCAAAAGAAAAGGAAAAAAAACCAAGGAAGTCTAGTTGTCTCCTGAAAAAAGCACCTTTGGGACAACCATGACCTGGAAGACTGAGAATCTTTACAGACTTTCATTATACACATACATCAAAAATTACCCAAAGCAGCCATGCATAAAGTGACAGCTGTTTATTTAAATTACCTTAGCCTTGGTATGCAGGCATCTCTCTTTGACAGACGTATGTTAAACTATTGCATCAGAAATAGAGGGCCATATTGTTTGCCATATTGTCTTAATGAGGAACGGGGAGATACCAGTTGCTTAGGCATTTGTAGTAAGCCTACAAGAGATTTAGCAAAACTTACATTAAAGAAAGGAAGGGGCCAATCTCTCCTGCAAATAAAGTGTGCATATGTTTTGGATAAACATTTTGATTCTATTTCTCTCAAGTGACTCCCCCTCACAGCCCCAAGCAAATATGTCGGCAGAAAGAAATGACAGCTCGCAAGATTACGGAGGGGCCAACAACCAGGATGGGTGATGAAGGAGAATGGGAGGGGGGGAATGTCCAGTTTCTTAGCTTTGATGCTACAGAACCATCAGGATTATTCTTTTTTGCTAGCAAAGAACTTGACTTTGTTACGTGCAAAGCTTCAAATTATACTGCCCCATTGATTGAGGAAACTAGCTTATGTTGAGTCTAACAAAGATGAAGACTAGGGATGATAGGGAAGCTGTCGTCCAGTCCTTGAGGGGATGTCACAGAGAAGAGGGGGTCCACCCATTTTCCAAAGCACCCGCGGGCAGGAAAAGAATTAACAGATGGGAAATGATCAAGGAGAGATCCAACATAGAACTAAGGAGAAATTTCCTCACAAACATCATCTTTTAATGACCCCATAATCCCTTGCGGGGTGGAGTCTGGCCAACAGAATGGAGCTGAGTGTTTACTGGCCGGATGCCCTTCCTGTCACCAATGTGGAGTTATATTCAGCAGATATAGTCTCAACGTGCCCAGAGAAAGAAATATCTACCTCAGTCTAGGATTGAACTGACAGCCTCCTGATTGTGAGGCGAGAGCTCCGCTTCTAGGCCACCACACAATGAGAATGATTAATCAATGGAATGGCTAACCTCTGGAAGTCATGGGGTACTCCATCAGTGGGAATTTCAAGAAGAGGGTGGACAACTATTTGTCCAGAATGGCATGTCCTGTTTGAGCAGGGGGTTGGACTAGAACAGCGGTCACCAACTGATGGTCCATGGACCACTGGTGGTCTATAAGAAAATTTTGGTGGTCCGCAGAAAAATTATTTCCATTTTTTTTATATTGCACTAAATCAGGGGTCCTTAAACTACAGCCCCTGGGACGGATACGTGCAGTGAACATTTGTGTTGCTGCAGAGAGTCTCCCCCTTCGGGGTCTTTTTGTGTGGGTTGGAGGGGGGCAGAAATTCTGACTTGGGGTCTGCTTCAGCCTCCTGGTGTGGGGCTTTGGGCGAAGGCTGGAGGGAAGTGCCACTGGTGGCATAGAGCTGGAGGGCCTTGTTCCAGTGGGACTGCATCATGGCCTGGAACTGGCTGACCATCTCAGCCCACTGAGCCTCCAGGTGCCGGTACTTAGCCTTGCACTCCTGCAGGTCTTCCCTCTGCTTGGAAAGTCTATGCTCGTAATCCTGAGTGAGGTACTTC